TTCAATGAAAACCAGAGGGCGAAACAGAAAATGATTTGACCGAAAAAGTTTATTTTAAGAAGACACAAACAGCTCTAGCTATATAAAGAATACAGTTCAATTGCTGGTAGCAAGCCAGTAAGGAATGCTTTTTAAAAAAAGAAAAGAAAAAGAAAGACAAGAAAAACCCTTTGTATATCACCCCACAGAGGGCTCCCTTCCATTTTGTGTTGGAATCTTACCAAGACTGGGATTGTGGTCTCTCTGAGTTTCTGCTTCTTCTTGAAATTCTGATCCATGGACACATTCTTGTCACTGGGGGAATTACCTTACCTCTTCCTTCCAGGTTAGGATACTGATCTGTAAATTCCTGTCTCCCTTGTTTGTCTTAAGTGTATTTCTGGCACTTAGTAAGCACTGAATGTAAGTGCTAACTTAACAAAATTCTGCCGCCTGGCTCTGTACAGTAGTACTGGCCAATCCTCAGTCCTCATTTTGCTTTTGGCGGGGGACTCCTTTTAGGTCCAAGGCACAAACCTGGTTTCCCTTTCTAATTCTGGAAATCCTGAACAGAACACAGAAAGGGACTGTCATGGGTGCTTTAAAATAGGGAAATCCTGAAAGTTACTTGTGTCTCTAATTTTTAAAAAATTTAGGTTTCAGTAAGTGGATAGATCCCTGGGCTCAAGTAACAGAAATCAAACTAAAGGCTCTAAGAAGCAAATTTATTGAGTTAGAAAAGGCTGCAACCTGAGGGCTATTTCCGAATGACTGAGTCCACATTGAATTTAAATCCTGGCTTTCTGTGCACTGGCCTGTCCAGAAGTGTCACAGAGGAGTTTCTTCAAATGGCTCCCTGAGGAGGAGCCGATGAAAACCAATGGAAAGGTCTAAAAAGACAAGATAGGGGAGATACCTCAGGAGCCCCACCATCCTGTTCTCCTTAATCAGTCCCAGCAGAACTGGCCCTGGACCAGAAGACCAATGAGGGAGCTAGGTGGTACGCACGTGTGATTCATTAGTGAAAGTGGCCCTCACAGTCCAGGTGGAGAAACCACACTCACATACACAGGCACATACCTTCTCGTCCACTCCTATGTCCCAATGTTTCTACAAGTGAATGTGAAAATGTGAATCTGAGCTTCAGACCCCCAAATAGTATGAGGTGTGGAGATGGAAGCAAGGTGGAGAAATGTGAAGGAATTTTGAGAATCATTTTAGGGGTTCACAAAACAGGAGGTGGTGGGCTAAATATCTGCTGGTTATAGCATTGCATGGAGCATCCCAAGGAGCTCATCCCAGGATCTGGGGGCCCAGGACACAGAAAAACTGGGCACAGAATACCTTCTGCACCTCATTGGCTTTCTTGTAAGAGCTGAGTGCTCTGTCTAGTACTAGGTCCAAATCATTTTTAGGAAATAAACACATGGAAATTCTGAGTTTTAAAACCCGCCTTTAGAACCAGGAAAATTGGTGATTTCTCTAGGAAATCATAGACTGGATTAGAATTTATGGCCTGAACAACCAGACTTTCCAATGATAGTCCTAAACTTGTGATGGTAGTATGGGGCAGGGGAGAGTAGCCCAAGGTGTGGGGAGCAATGACAAGATTAAAGAAATAAGAAAACTCGGAAATTCATTCTTTCCTACTACCTTACTTCCAACCTGGTGAGGCAGAGGAACACTTAAAAGCAAGGAACAAGGACAGATCCAGAAAAGAACGAGTGTTTCTACACTGAGGTAGTCAGTAATGAGAGCTAGTTAATGAGGGACATCCAATGTAATGGTTGGCACATGCAGCCCCTCTCTCCCTGCCCATGTGCAGTCAGACTGATCTGATGATGCAGGAAATATGAGGGCAGTGAGCCACATCATCTGATACACAACCCACTTACCACGTGGGACAGGTCACAGAAATACCTGTTCCAGATAGTGATGATGATGACAAGCAGGCCAAGTTCAGCCTGAGGTTTTGTATGGTCTGTAAGCTAAGACTTGTTTTTACATTTTCCAAGGGCTGTAAAACAAATGAAGGAACAAACAGTAACAGCAAAGAAAAATGTGTTAGAGACTGTATGTGGTCCAGAAGGCTTACAACAGTTACTGTCTGGCCCTTTGCAGAGGAAGATTGTCAGTCCCTGGTCTAGATGATGGTGGAAATCCTACCAATCTCTGGTAAGAAGCCTCTGAGGTCCCTGAAAAGGGAAACCAGAGGAAGTCCAGAAGAAACAGGGGGATGATAACAATAACTGGAAATACCATTCAATATGATTGGCACAACCCTCAAAGTCCACTGCCTCCAAGTCCAAGGAATAGTAAGGTATGCATGAACTAAGGAAGGAAGTCCAAGGATAGCCAAAGAGAGAGCCACATTTAGGAACATTAGGCAAAGAATATTCTGAAAAAGACACTCCATGCAGAGCTCAGTACTGATTAGGGAATTCTATTATTTTTCAATAAGAAAAAGATGAGGTTTGAGCCCAGGGATTGTCAAAATATCAAGCCAAGTGAAGATTCTAGAACACAGCTGAGTAATGCACGAACATCTAACAATCTGAAAATTTCTCATAAAGATTAAGGGAAGGCTAAAGTAGATTCTAGGAAAGCTAATATTGGTTTGCCCTACTTAAATAAACACCAAATACAAAAGTTCATACTAAAAAAATAGAGACATTAAGGGACAAGAGGAGTCTTGGTTTTTCAAAAGAAATCCCCAGAAGATTCCCTTATATAGGAAGCCTCCCTACTAAAAATGAAATTTGATCTATAAAAACCCATTTCACACAATTTTTAGGTACAACATCCATTATACAAAGTAGGGCACAGATACTGAATATGGAGGGAACAAAAGTTTCTAAGCTAAAAATCAGATTTATCTTTGGATTCATGAACTAAAGAACTCTTGAGCATTTTTTATATATATATATATATATATATATAAATTCATTGAAATACCTGGGAAATTTAAAAGTCATAAAAGTAGAAGAAAGCTGTGGGTATTCTATAAGTGTAGTGCTTTAAGTGACAAAACATTCAGCCCAGAGGCAGGAGACCTGGAATTGAGGTTAGGCCTTGCCTCTGGCTCACTGCGTGACCTTAGGTAAGCTATTTGACCATTCTGGTCTCAGTTTCCTCATCTATGGAATGAGAGAGGTTGGTCCCTTTCAACTCTAACATTCTGTGAATATAGATAAATATAGAAATAAGATAAATACAACAATCTCGAAATAAGAAATATTCCCCAAAGTAAGTTTTGGAGTTAGTAGAAAAAAGTAGCAATGAAACATAATAAAAATAATAAAATCTTAACTACTAGACAGAGTAAATATATATCATTGAAAAATTAATGAAAAGGTTTGCAATTTACAATTGATCAGGAGACATCAGAACATACATATTGATATTTCTTCACCATCACACATACAGAGGAAGGTATGAGTTTGAGGTGACTGGAACAATGAGCACAATGCTGTGTTTGCATGCATAACATTTTATAAAATTGGACATAAAAAAGCTCAAGACCACATAAGGAATAAATTTCTATAAAGCTTGGCATACAAAGAGGCTGAGGGGGTTAACTGTTTGTTCCGGTTCATATTTTGTTTTGGAGTTCATTGCTATCAAACTCCATTCTTTAGGCAAATATCTTAAAATCAAATATACTTCTGCCAGAGCCCTCTTGGAGAATAGCCACCATGGTGAAGACTGTTGTTTAAGGATTGGCAATACCAAACAAGTGTAACACCTTTCCTTTTTTTTTTTTTTTTTTTTGTTTAAATTCAGAGTTAATTTTCTTTTTAAAACCCAAACCGGGTCGGATGTGCTGGCTAAGTCAAATCAAAGGTTTTGTAGTTTAAATAGTTGATTCAATCTGGTATTTTTTTTTTTTTTTTTGTGGTAGTGAGGGTTGAGCCTAGGGACACTTACCACCCAGCTTTTTGTTTTGTTTTGTTTTGAGACAGAGTCTTGCTAGGTTGACAAGGCTGGCCAGGAACTTGAGATCCTCCTGCCTCAGCCTTCAAGTTACTGGGATTACAGGAGTGTATCACCACACCTGGCTCAATTAGATAATTTCTTTTTTTTTTTAATAAGTTTTAGTTGTTGATGGACCTTCATTTATTATTTATATGTGGTGCTGAGAATCAAATCCAGTGCCTCACACATGCTAGGCAAGTGCTCTACCACTGAGCCACAACCCTGGCCCTCAATCTGATAATTTCTTAACACCGAACAAATATATGCCTGACTAAGACGATGATATACATCTTTTGGCCAGAAACTGATCACTGTAATGTCATCCAAAATAACAGGAAGGTTAGGATCAGTTGAAGAGTTGTGGCTGTAGTGATTCAGGGCCTTGAAGGAGTAACATCACTGGACCACACACACACACACACACACACACACACACACACACTCCCTTTCCCTCTCTCTCTCCTCCATGGATGCTGCTATTGCCAGTCCTGGAACCACACTTAAGAGAATCACTGGCCTAGATTTTGGGCTTTACTGAACAAAAGTATATACCTATCTTACATAATCCATTGCTCATGCAAATTTCTTTTGCTAATGTATTAAAAGTGTTGTGCCCCTAATATGTGTTCATAACCATTTACTACTATAGTTCTCTATAAGCCTATTTCAAAGTATTCTAAAACTTTGCTTATTTCATCATTGTTTAAATCATTATACTGTTTTCTGCCCTTTGACAAAGGCACTTCTTTGTATCTCTTTCCCACTCTCTCATCCTTTTAAATCTAATATCTTTGTCACTTATAGCTGAAATACATGCAAAGGCTTTAAAGGGACTGGGTGCTCTGATAATAATATGGTTTCATTCTCACACCAAGCTGAAGTGATAGCACATAACAGAGGTAAAATGGGGGGAGGGAGAGTAGAGGCATGTGTTTAATAAAGTTGTACCTCCAATAAGTATCACTACCAATACTGGACGACTGACATTGATGGACACGGGTTGCACAGTTTAATCTTTCACAAACAGGACACATTTCCACAAACTCTTCAAATCTTTGTGTTCTTTTACTCAAATGATAAGTAGTATTAACTCTGTTATATAACATGTTAATGTACAATATGAATGATCTAGGCCTTCTCAGTGGCTTTTAGTAGCCAATTCTGAGAGTCCCTTGGTAGTAACCATACTGAACAGCACTGGGTATCTGGATAATCTGGTTGACCATCAGCTAGTATCTATAATTATTCCAGGAGATAAAGTTATTTTCTATACTCTGGAGTTAGCCATCAGGGAATCTGGCCTTTCCATGGTGAAAAATACACTTTTACAATTAGTTGATGCCTAACATTCTGCAAGTAGAACTTCATTCCTTTGGCTTAAGGCTTTCCCCTGTTAAAATGCAAGCAACCCTCAAAAGAGGTAGCATTAAGCCTTATTTATAATCTCAAAGTAAATTAATTTATCCCTTTCCTGAGAGCATGTTTTCTTAGAGAGGGGAGAACAAAGCAGGAGGCACTAAGGAGAGTTGGTGCTGGGGGAAGGGAGCAGAAGGAGACTGAGGATGGCGTGGGCAGACCTCCAGTTTATTCACTATTTTTCTGAAGGGCTGTCCCTACTGAAATGGGTGCTAACTTGTCGCATGGAGCAGGTTACTTAGAAATCAACTATGTTTTTTGATAACTCTGAAGATTCTGTGATGCGTAGGCATACAAAGGCTTCTAGCAGTGAATGAAAGAACAGATACCAATAAAACATTTGGTGCAACAACAGATAGGAAGTTAGCCTCCCAAATCAGAACAATACATGGAAGAAGAGAAACTGATATCACTTTGAAGAGTGCAAATCACAGGGCCTGGACGAGGGTAAGGCACTTGCAAGGACCTTAGAGCAGGCAGGCGCCTACTTGGCACTTCGCCCACCTCACCCTAGTCCTGGCCCTGGCAAATCATATTAAAGTGAAAGCTCACCATTTGTGTCACAGACTTGGTGAATATGGAAGGCTGAACCAGTGAGGAGCAACACTGAGCATGAACTTGTTTTTTTTCCTGACTAGTTCCGGGATGAGGAAGAAGACAGGTTTATGGGCAGATCTGCTCAGAGAGATAGGTACAATCGGATCTGTGTTGTCTAGATAGTTAAAGTGGATGTCAGACAAAAATGCTTGTTAGGACAGCTTTGGAGACTCTGTTGTCATTATTCATTCGTGGTAATTTCTCCAGATCATTATCAGCCGGTCAACTTGTGGTCATTAAACCAATGTGAACTATTGGCTGCCTGTAGCCTTGTGTCCTTCATGGTTGAGCTATTATCTAGGGCTGCAGTTCATGGGTGTTGGGGGTGAGGGACAAATTGGGGCCAGGTGGGAGGCCCAGGCAGTCCAAGTAGTACAGGCAAAAGAGAGGAGGCACCAGCAAAGCCTGCATTTGAACTAAGAACTTACTAATGTCCACCTTAGAACCACAAATATGTAATGAATCCCCACTACATGCAAAGCATTCTGAGATACCAATTAACTGCCTCTTTGGGGATGGCTCCCTCTGCTCATGACAAGACCAAAGCCACCTACTACTACTGGTGGGGATAAGAGGGTTGAAGTTGGAAACTGACATCCTGGGGCCAGCTTCACTTCCCTCCAACCTCTTCAATATTCCACTTTTGGAAATTATTCTCATTATTATTCATAATAGTCATAGCAGTGGTAGTAGCTTTACTGAGAGCCTTCTTGGAAGGGGATTTCTCTCTCTCTTCTCCAGCCTCAGCAGAGTAGGCCCAGAAAGTGGCAAACATGGTGGTAAATGCCTGGGTGGGAGAGAGAATCGGTGCTATGGTAATCAAGGCAGGGCTGGGGATATAGCTCAGTGGTAAAGCACTTGCCTTGCATGCATGTGGTCCTGGGTTTGATCCTCGTACCACAAAAAAGTGATAAGGGCAGGAGAGAGGTTGAGTGTTAGGAGAAGAAAAGATGCTTGGTGTTATTTAAATCAATGAATTGTAGAAGATTTACGGTTTGGTTTTTGGGGGACTAGATCCATATTTTGCAAAATATTAAATGAATATTTCCAGTCCTAAATGTTGTCTCTCACCATACAATCTCTGCTCCCAAATCCTCTTGTGCTAATGGGGACATGTGTGGGCCATGGTAATGATGCAAAGATATTAAAAAAATTCTAGGCATATGGAGTTCTGTAGAGGAGAACAAGGATCACAGAAAGTGTAAAACACCAAAGTGTCTGGGCATTTAGCTTTAGAAACTTTAGGGAATATCTCCATAGGTAGCAAGGCAAAGGGAGAGGCAAAACCCACTAGAACTCACAAACAAGAAGCTTCCAGAAAAAACAGCAGAAGTAATAAGTCCTACATTATACTCTCATACTTTAGAGTTCAGCTGTTCATAATGGTTCCCAAGGAGCAGGCCCTGGCAGCCTTTCACTTTTGTTAGGCAAAAACACAAACACTCCTTCATTTCCTTCCAGAGCAAAATGTTTCCATCATTTGGAATTCTGAGTCCAGGACAGATAAGTGTAGCATTCATGTATAAACTAAGGCCAAGGATGAATCTATTTTATTTCATTTCTGGCAACCCCCCAGAAACTTCAAACCAGATAGTTCAAATACTTTCAAAAGCAACTGGACTTTGACCAGCTGTCTACCATTCTCAGTGGCTTCTTTCTAAATTGGGAGAGTTGCTGATTGCAAGGAAGTTGGTGAGCCTGGCTGTTCCCATTAGTCTAGAATTCATAATTGGACCAACCAGTAGCCTAGGCCTAGGGCTTCTGTGTGAGAAACCTGAGTCTTCTTAGCACTTAAAGTGGGTTTTCAGTTTCTCTGTCCAACTGGAGTGTGGACAGTTGAGCTAAGAACTTGCTTCTCATTGGTGAAGAGTGTCCTATCAAAATTGAGATCTGCTTGTCACTGGAACTCTTGATGCATCTTCCAGGAAGTTGACAAATGAATCTGTAGGGTGAGCATAAAGGAGGAAGGGGTCTGGGAACCCTCTTTGTGAAGCAGGCTACAATTTCATTTGACTTTCTTTTTTGCCTCTTGGGACCGGTAGACAATTAAAACTTTCCAACATTGGTCAGTAGGTTTTCTCTGTTCAATGCTTTTCCTGTCTTGTCCTTAACTCCCAGAAATTAGGGATATGGAAATCAAATGAATCACTGCTCTTGCTCTGCTTAGAAAATTGAGCTGAAAAGAATAGTTAGCAGCTGATAGCTTTGGATGGGGGAGGGGTTGCAATCACTGTTCCAAAACTCTTTCAGTATCCCATTTACCCAAGTTCTTATGTACTCCCAGAGCATGGTTAACTGAAAGTTGGTCAAACAGCAGACTGTAAATGGCAAAAAGTAGCCCTTTTTGCATTATGGGCCATAGCAACTTGCAAGGTTGCCTTTAAGATTCTGGGTAGATCCTTTTAATCTATAAGTTCTTGGTTTTTGGAATAGAGTCAGAATTCCTTTAAACAAAATCCAACCAACCACAAAGTGCCATCTGAATTGAATGGTGTGGGGAAAAATGCACTTATTCTCCTTGAGCCTTTGATGATGCTGGCCCTTCAGCTAATTACTTCCTGTACTGAATGCTATATGCAAATGAAACAGGAATTCTTAGAATGCAGCATGACCTGGGCACAGATCTTGGCTATCCATGTTGACTGACATTTGAAGGACCTCAAGGCGCACGTGCGAGTTACCTTGGATAGATCTGAGAGAACAGCTACTTTGTTTATTGGCTGAGCTTGGTTCATCCAAATCCATCCAGTCAGGACCTTTTCTAGATAATGTTGGGAGGTCCTATACATTTATTGAAACTCATCACCCTGATCTCCGTGTAGACAATCAAACTGAAAAAGGCATGAAGTTTCAGGATAGAGTCACATTCATATTTTGCACCACAAAAGCCATCCAATCAACCCCATGCCGAAATAAGTGCACACCTGTAAAACTCACTGGAGGAATCACACTGTGGTTAAGGAGGCCTCGCAGTTTTTCTGTATCTCCATACAGGTTTGTCAAGGCTTCCTCATGAGAATGAATAATCAGCAATGGCACCCGATGGCCCCACCCCCAAGGGGTTGACAGCCCCTTTTCAGCTCTCCTACTGCGGCTGCCAGTGGCGGGAGCCAGGGCTGGAGCAGCCAGGACATTAATTGAAAAGGTGACATGAAAAAGATGGCACAACCTTTGCTTCTGAGAATTCCTCCTTAGTCAGTGCACACCACTGGGGGAAAATAAGAAGAAACCCAGTAACCAGTCATGGTGAGGGTGTAATTATGGAAATGCAAAATGTTTAAAGACCATTCCAGCGCCTTACAACTTCAGTTCTAGTTGAAGTAGGCTCTTTCCTGCTGGCCAGAGTGTGAGTTAATGTAAAAGAAATGTAGGCTCTTTTGTGATTTCCATGGTTCCTTTTTATAACCCTTTCTCTTCCCCCTTCTCTACTCAAGTTTAGTAAGTAAACCCTGTTTGTTGAACCCAGGGCTTAGGTACTGGAGTTATCAGTGTTTTCATAGTCTTTTGAAAACTGTGCAATAATTCTCCTAGCCAGTGGGTTAGTGGTCTTCAGCAGTTCAGCTGCTGAGGGGCGGGACCTTGGAGCTGCCTTACTTCCCTTCTTCAGGAGCAAGGCCTTGAAATCATCATTTCTGCCAGCATCTAGGCTGGCAATGCCGCTTGACCCTGCAATGGTGGCAGACTCACTGATTGGAGAATCAGCTGTGTTCTTTACCGGTGAGTGAGAGCTTGGTCTGCTGCTGGCAAAGCCCTCTCCAGGCTCCTTCCAGCCAAGCAGTTTTCTTTTGGACCTAAATAAGAGAAAGCTTGGTCTGAGTGAATTTGGGGAGCAGACATTTACCAAAACTTCATAGTGATGCAACTGAGAATGTGTACATGGTAGTCTTGAAAGTGTATTGACTGGCTTTCTCTCCTACCTCTAAGCCCTTAAGTCCCTGATTGGCCCCTCCTGCATTCTCCACATGCCCTTCAATGTCCACTGAACCTTGGCCTGTGCCTGCAGGTTCAGTCCTGCCCAGGTTCTGGGACCAAGGACAAATGCAAGTAGTCTAGGCTAGTAGCTCGGTGACTGAATCAGGACAGTCTTGGGACTGATTCTGTTCTGAACTGGTGCTCAGGCTCTGGTAACTGGGTTCTTTCCAGGTTCCTTGTCACCAAGCCCCTCTCTGCCTTGTGCCCCTGTGCCTCATGTACTCCCCCTTTGCCTAAGTTCCTGCTTTGATATGCTGCCTAAGTGCCCCACATCATCTCTTGATAGGATTTTGTGGTACAAGGAATTCTGTGAAGGGTTAAATGTCTCTGACTGTAGACAGAGCTGTGAGAGAGCAGATGGAGCCACAATAGGCCAAGTGGTTGCTAGGAGACGAGGGGCCTCTCACTCAGCACCTGGTCTTCCCCTCCCTTCCCCTCCTCCACTTTACCCAAAGATGTCAGTAAATTTGAGATGTGAGGCCCTGGACTGCACTCACATATGTGAGTATCTGAATGTAGTCTCCAGTTGCAATTGTAATGGCTGCTTAGAGGCAGCAGTTTTTCTTTAAGTAGAAAAAGGGACTGCAATAGAATGAAGGAAAATGGTTCAGACCTGTGTATCACAGTAAATAAATCTTCAGTTGTGCGTGAAGCCACAAACACGTCATCATCCTCCTCCGCAATCCATTCGGCTGTTTTATCACTGATTAAACTTTTCTCTTCGGTGCTTGGCTCCACAGAACTCCCTAGGCATAGAACCAGAAGGAATGAATGACTTTGACCACAACAGATAGGACAAATCACATTCATTCTTATATGTTTATTTCATGTGATGTTCAAAGTAACTATGGAAGGGCAGCAGGATGGAGATTTATAATGCTTTCGTTTTGCAGAGAAGGAACGTGAAGAAGAATGATTTGCCCAAGGTAGAGTGAGTGGTGAAGATTGCTCTGGGTCACTGTTTTCATGTGCCTTTTTCATGACAACAGGTGGTCTAAGCATTCTCTTGTTTTATTTTAATTTTTATTTTTTTTAATATTTTTTTTTTACTTGTGGATGAACACAATATCTTTATTTTATTATTTTCATGTGGTGCTGAGTACTGAACCCAGTGCCTCATACATGTTAGGCAAGCACTCTATCACTGAGCAACAATCTCAGCCTAATTTTTATTTATTTATATATATATTGTTCCAGTGTTAGGGATGGAACCCAAGGTTTCACACGTGCTAGATAAGTGCTCTACAACTGGGCTACACCCCTGGCACCTCTCATTTTAAATACATAATTTTTTATTGGTGTGTAATAATTATGCAGAATAAAGGGTTTAATTATGGCATATTTATACATGCACATTACATCATTTTTTCTGGTACTGGGGATTAAACCCAGAGGTGCTTGATCACTGAAGTATATCCCCAGCCCTTTTATTTTTTTTAAAAATTTTGAGACAGGGTCTTGCTAAGTTGCCCAGGTTGGCTCTAAATTTGTGATCCTTCTGCCCTAGCTTCCTAAGTAGTTAGGATTACAGGTGTGCACCACTGCTCCTGGCCATATCACACAATGTGATCAACTGAAATCCTTATTACCTCCTCTTGTCATTCCTTTCTCTCTTCCTGATCTTTCCTTTACTCTATTGGTCTCCCTTCTATTTTCATGATATCCCTTTTCTCTCTAACTTGCACAAATGAGAGAAAACATATAACCCTTGTATTTATGAGTCTAGCTTATATTATTTAATATGATGCTCTCCATTTTTAAAACTCAAGGAACTAAGAGCAAGCTTAAGGAATGACTCTTATCCAGTGGGTGAAAGTGGGACCTGTCTGAATCTCAGCAGGAACCTGTGGAGTATGAGGAAGCATATTCTTTTTTCATTTTTTTGTGGTACTACAGATGGAACTCAAAGGTGATATACCATTAAGCTACATCCCCATCCCTTTTTATTTTATTTTATTTTGAGATGGTATCGCTAAGTTACTGAGGCTGGCTGCAAACTTGCAATCTTCCTGCCTCAACCTCCTGAATTGCTGGGGATTACAGACATGTGCCACCATACCCAGCTTGAGGTAACATTCTAAAATAACCCATGACTTTGATTTATTTGCTTGTTTTAGAAGGTCATGAGATTGTGAGATTTGTTGTTAAGGATTTTAAAAAGATGAGAAACATGGATGAGCCTTGAGGACATTAAATGAAATAAGACAGTCACAAAAAAGACAAGTACTGTATGATTCTACTTCTATGAGATATCAAGAGTAGCCAAATTCATAGACCCACAAAGTAGAATGGTGGTTGCAATGGCCTTGGGGGAGGAGGAAAATAAGTGTTGTTTAATGGGTATAGATTTTCGTTTTTTGCAAGATGAAAAGGGTTTTGGAGATGGGTTGCTCAACAATACAAATACATTTAACCCTAAATCAATGCATACTTAAAAATGGTTAGGATGGGTGCTGGGGATGTAGCTGAGTGGTAGAGTATTTGCCTTGTCTGCTTGAGGCCCTGGGTTCAATCCTCACTTACCACAAAAAATGCTTAAGATGGTAAATATTATGTGCATTTTACAATTGAAACTAAAAGGTGGAAATTAGCCAGGTACAATGGTACACGCCTGTAATGCCATCTACTCAGGAGGCTGAGACAGGAAGGATGGCAAATTTGAAGCCAGCCAGGGTAACGTAGCGAGATCCTATCTCAAAATAAAAAAAATAAAAAAAGGACTTGTGATGCAGCTCAGTGGGAGAGAACCCCTGGGTTCAATTCCTACTAGTGCAAAAAAGAAAAAAGTGAGAAACAAACAAAAAGGATGTGAATCATTAACTAGCTCTTATGGTTCCAAGGAAGTGGATACCTCTCGATGGCACCAAGAAAGGGTACTGGTGGTAATAGAATTCATTGTTTTAGAAGCCTGCATGCCAGCCATGGCACTTGAACTTGATCTGTGAGTGTACTGAGTCCCCTGCATGAAATTACATTTAGTGGGTAAAGAAAAGTACTGTTCAGTGAAATAAAATGCTAGGCAGGGGATGCATGCCTGGTGAGTAGATCCTGATGTCCTAGTGTCCTAGGGGCTAGTTTGATTTCATTATCTCAGCACCTGAATCAAGGGTAGACTCACCCAGACTTGACTTTGGAGATCTTCCCTAGATCAGTCCTGACCCCAAGGACAGTAAGGCCTACTTGCCTACAATTCCTATTCAGAATAACCCAAATCCTCAAGAGGTGTTCCTACTGATTTGGTTATCCTGGGATGAGGATAAGCATTCTGGAGCATCTGCTTCTTCCTTGGGTACTCCAACCTCACCCACATCCCTCCTGTGATTGACAGAAAAAGCCCATGGACAATTTACTAACCCAGAGAGCTTGCCTCCTTTTCACTGTCAAACTTTGGAGCTGAAGTTGTCCTTTTACCAGGCAGGTCATCCCTGATTGGGGGACACTTGGTATCTTCCTGCAGGGTGATGATGGGACTGAGAGGCAGTCTTGGTTCTGCCACATAGGCCTCCATCTGAGCTACTGGAGAGGTGAGAGGCAGGTACAGCACACTGGGCTTTTTTGGTACAGGAGGTGGAATCTTGCCTGTCTTTCTCTCAGCTTCTTCCTGGCTCTGGAGGCTAATTCTTTCAGGCAGGGCTCTCACCTTGAGGCCTTCGTCCCCCATACATTCCTGGGGAGGTTGCTGTGTTCCTGAGAAGAAAGCACCAGAGGAACTGGCAAAAGGCGTGAAAACAAGAGATGAGGGTCCTGTTGACTCCCCTGGGCTCCGGGCATCAGGGAAGCTAGAGGGCTTTGGTTTCCGCATCACCGTGTAGCTGTCTTGGGGGAGCGGCCTCATAGGTTGAATGGCATTCTTGGGGGTCACAGGTGAAGTTAGTGGGTATTCCTCTGGGACAGATGGTGGTTTATGGGTCAAGCTTGGAGGCCTTCGGGCCAGTGGAGGCTTCTCAGCTACAGGAGGTTTCACCTTTCTTTCTGGCAAGGTGAAGACTTCTGCTGTGGGTTCCTCAGCATAGTCTGGGCTCTCAATGTCATCTTCTGGCTCAGACTTGCTGACTGACCTCAGGCGAACAGAACGCAAGTCAGACTGAGTAACCATGGGCATGACTGGCTGGTTGGGACTAGTTTTCTGTGCCAGCTTGGCTCCAAAATTGGTATCTGAGTGATGGCGGCTCACCTTGGTTTTACTGCGGATGGAGATACTCATCCCAGACAGATCTAGATTGGCTGAAGAGGTCAATGGTAGGTCAAATGATAGCCGTGACTTGGAAATTTTCTCCATTGGTGATGTCGGGGGTAGTGATGACTTTCTTTCAGGTACCACTGGACGTACCCGGACACTGCTGCTTGAACTGGGTAAGTGGCTCAGGGTCAAGGACATGGAGACAGTGGGTGTTGGTGTCTCTGACTGGCTGGAGTATCCACTGGAAGGTGACATCAGTCCAGTGGGCCTTCCTGGGGAGGATACTTCTCTGGCCTCCACCTCAATGGAGAGTTGGGAAGGTGTCGTGGCTCTGGAGGTGGAAGGAGAGGCAAGAGATTCTGAGCTGCCTTGAACTTGGGTACACTCAATGACTGTGGTGCCAGTGGCAGTGCTGGAGCTAGACAAAGATTGGTAGGTGTCACCAGACTTCCAGTCAGTAAGATACCAGTGGTGGGAGAATTGTGTACCTTCTGAATCTTTGAGGGTTGGCACAGCTGGGTGACCCTGAGCATCTGGATGGGATGGGTTATGTTCTTGGTGTTCCAAAGAGAGGCAAAGGCTCCTGGGCCTCTGGTCCTTGGGCAATGCTGTTCCACCTTCTGGCAAGAGGACTGGCTCATCTTTGACCAGTGAGACACTGCGTGTTGGTGGAGAAGGCTTCTTTTTGGCCTTCTTGAGTGAGATACTCTTGGATCTCTGCCTTCTGTGACGGGCCTCCTGCTCAGCACTAAGGGATGCAATGTTGTCAGCACTGTTACTGCCCTCAGAGCTTGTACTGGCATAAGGCAGAGCACAGGCCTCACTGGCCTTCTGTTCTTCTTCATAGTCTATATCTGTGGTTCCTGAGTCTGTGGGCACAGATAATGACCGCTCCCGAAATCTGCTGGTCCCACCTGGGCCTGTCTCAAGCCTTGAGGTACCACCAGTCAGAAAGCCAATCTTAGGGGGTCTTTCCGGCACTTGCCTTCGTTGAGTAGGGTGCTCAGAGTAGCCAGTTAACCCACTGCACCCTGCTGGGTTATCGCGGGTGACAAAAAGGGAAGCTGCCTCTTTAGGAACCAGAGGTGGAAGTGTATTCAGAGAGACCCAAGAATTCCTGGAGGAAGGATTTTTTCCATTTTCATTGACTTGACTGCTCTGGCTGGTGGCACTTGGAGTTATGTAGGTAAAAGCATCTCCCTTCCAGGAAGCAGAGAACGTTGATTCTGTTGGTCCATTGCAAGAACTGGGGACACTATACACCATTCCCATGCTCTCCATGCCAGGAGGGTCTGGGCCACTATGTGCCTGGTGAGGGTCTTTGGGCTCACTAGATGGATTTCTCAGTCCTGGAGAGGAGAGATTTGGGAACCGAGCTTCCTGCCCAACAGCAACTCTTCCATGAACACTTTGTGGAGCTGAGTGACCAGGCCTGGTGTCTGAGGTGATAGATCGAGCCACACTGCCTGCTGGGCCGTTGCTGTGACCTGGAGGAAGAAAGCACAGAACATTAGGGGTACAGCAAGGGATCCCCCATCAGCTGTTTTGAGACAGGAGCACCAACTTTTTGCCAAGAAGCATTTACCAACAGCTTGCTCACAATTCCTTGGTTCTTCCTTTTCATAGATGAAGATGCTGGGGAATTTGGGTTCCTGCCCATGGCCACAAGTGAGTCAGGGTACCCCTGAATCGTCCAGATGCTGTCAAAGATTTTCCAGGTTTGATGATTCTCTTTAGCGGGGAAGAATCCCATGGGAACACCTTGAATTTTTCCCATACTTTCTCCCCAGGCTCATGAAACCATCACAGCCCCCAGTGTCTGTCAATCCTGACATGAGAGCAAAGGCTTCCAAACTGACTAAACTGTGTAACTTGCAGCTCTAGCAGCGAGTGTGGAATATGCCATAGGTGGAATGCCCAGAGCCTAACTGCATTTTTGGCACCTGTTGTTTTTTACCTTTGCAACACAAAAGACTCAGAATAACCTATAGATGTGAGGAAACTGCTCAGGTGTTGCAAATTTCCAGAGGTTTTTCTCAATTATGACTATTGTATCATTATTATTACTTCTGCTAGAATTTATACAAATAGCCACCATTTGTTGAAAGTTGACTATATACCAGGTACATGTTAGGCAGATTACACAAAAAAAGTCTAATCCTCATAATGACTCAACTGGGTCAGTATCATTATCCCCAATTTACAGATGAAGAAGGTGAGGCTCAGAGTGGTTGTGTAACTTGGACAAGGCCTTGTAGTTAGTAAGTGATCACATCCATCTTTCTGGTGTGTGTGTTTTATTTTATTTTTTGTGGCTCTGGGGATGGAACTGAGGGCCTTGCACATGTTAGGTGAGTGTTCTACCACTGACATTCCCAGTCTGGGTCTGTGCTCTTTGGAAGCATTTGGTAATAATGGTTCAGTGAAGAGGTGGTTTTGGTGGTGATCCCCCACCCCACCCTGTTTATCTATTTGTTTAAATTTGGCATATGAGGTCACATTACATTACATTAATTAATTTATTTATTTATGTGGGGGGAGTACTGGGGATTGAACTCAGGGGCACTCGACAACTGAGCCACATCCCCAGCCCTATTGTGTATTTTATTTAGAGACAGGGTCTTACTGAGTTGCTTAGCGCCTCACGTTTGCTGAGGCTGGCTTTGAACTTAACGATTCTCCTGCCTCAGCCTCCTGAGCATCTGGAATTACAGGTGTGCACAACCGCACCCAGATACATTACATTTATAATGGAAAACAATAATGTAATGAGCAAATGAGTTCTGGGAACATGCTCTCCTTATTCAGTTGATGCCCTTGACAAGACTCTCCTGGCTATCCTTAATTACCACATTGGTTTTCTCAGGATGTCTAAAGTCCCACCCCTTTGAATTATTACTGTTCCCCAATACCACAATGCCACTTGGGTGGCAGGACCAGTGGAAGTGGAAGAGGGGAAGGTTCTGGGGGATTGCTGTGGTGGGGTCACCTTGGTCTCGCTGGGAAAAGTTAGAGAATCCAATAATGGTCCGCCTCCGCCTCAGGGTAGACTTGGGGTTCACGGCTGTTTCTGTGTTAAACAACGAGTGTCGCAAACTTGCGTGTTTATCAAACTGCTGTCCTGTAGCCAAAATAAAGACACTTGGGTGCATCCTGGTTTCTCTTTAAAGTACAGTGAAACTGGCCTGAGGTAGAGAGAAGGGATGACGGCAGTAGCAATGAGCATGAATAGCATCCAGGTGGTGGCACTTCTTCCCTATCCTTCCCTATTTGGTGCAAGGGACACATGCTGTTTCACAGGCTGCATCCAGGTCACCTTTAAATCTTAGGTGGATTAGGGCAATGGTTTTCAACCCTGACTTCATTCTGAAATAAACTGGGCAGCTTTTGAATCTTCCAAGGCCTGGAATCCACTCTAGAACACTTACTTCACTCTGTGAGAGTAAGGCCTAAGTAGAAAGAAGTATTTTCTAGAACCCCTCCCGCAGTTACTCAGATGTATAGTCAGGAGTGAAAACCATTAGTGCAGAGTGACTGACTGAGATTAGATGTTGCTTGACTGTGATATCTTGTGAGAAAGTCTTTATAGGGGGCCAGGTGAGGCCAGTGTCTCCAAGAAGCTGTCCACTGCTCCCCCTCCACCATCTAGGAAACAGCCTGATATTCTGTTCCACAGTCTCCTGGTCACATTTTACCAAAATTGGCTGCTGCATGGTGATGTTATCCCCCACACCCGCGCCGGCTCTTTTTTCTTTTCTTTTTTTGTTTTTTGCAATGGTCTTTTTTGCAGTGCTAGGAATTGAACTTGGAGTCTTGCACTAGGTAAGCACTCTAGGAGCTACACCCCTATACTTTCTTATTATATTTTAAGACAGAGTCTCACTAAGTTGTCAAGGTTGGCTTTGATCTTGTGATTCTCCTGCCTCAGCCTCCTGAGTAGCGGGGATTAAAAATGTGCACCGCCATACCCAGCTGAGCCCTAGCTCTCTTAAAGTTCTGGGTCAGTCTTTGGCTCCTGCGAAATTGCTGGGGCAAAGTGGGGGTGAGGCAATGCTGTGGAAGCAGGTACGCAGTTCCCCTCTCCCTGTCTCTCTTTCAGTAACTGGCTCAGTAGATCGTCCCCTCTCAGCCACACAGTTGTATGTGTGAGTGTGCATGTGTGCATGCACATACACACACAAACATACAGATACACAGCAACAAGTGGCTCTGTGGGCAAAACTCAGGGTCAGTAAGATAGTCATTTAGAAACAGAGTGCCCAATATCACTTTGTGAGTCTCTCCTCATCAGCCCTTTTTCCTCTGGCTTATTTCCCTAGGTGATGGGCTCTACTTCCTGCCTTTCATTCCCCAAGATGACTCTAATTGCAAAGGATGTTCCCTTATCCAGGGAACATCCTCACATGTGGTCAGAGCTGTCCTCATTGTCTTCATCAACTTGTTCCAGCATAGCAGGGCTTGTGCTGGCTTGAAGTTTCCCTCTGATTCCTTTGGGTCACTAAGGTCTTGATTTCATCAGGTCCCTGGCCCTGTCTCTTCTGTCATGACTGGTTCTCTTCCTCTTCCCCTTAGAGCCAATGTTGCAGAGGATGCCACAGACCCCCAGAGTCACAGCCAGCTGGGCTATAAAGATTACCTCCCCACTCTCAAGGTTGTCCCAGGGTCCCTTTTGGTCTTTTTTGCCTTAGTCTCTATTACTACATCCTTTTCTTTTTTCTTTCTTTTGTGCTACTGGGAATTGAACTCAGGGGCATTCTACCACTAAGCTACAACCTCTGGCCCTTTTGCTTTTTTTTAGTTTTGAGACAGAGTTTTGCTAACTTGCTGAGACTGGCCTAGAACTCGTGATCCTTACTGCCTCAGCCTGCCAAGTAGCAAGGATTGCAAGTGTGCATCACTGTGCCAGGCTTACTATTTCCTTCTCTTGAAAAATTTGCCAAATAAGTTGAGGAGGCCCACCTTGCCAGAAGACCTAGTGTGTGGGAAAGGGCTTTTGGTCTGTGCCTGGGTGACCCTCCCCTCTTACCATCAGTCCTTTGACTCCTACCCTCCCACTCTGCCTTCAGTCTATACTCCAGACCTAGCTTTGGGTACATGACATTGTCTTTCTCCAAACCAAACAGAACTCCCAAACTTTAAGTTTCCGTATATGCTCTGAAGAACATCCAAGTTCACAAAGTTTTAGAGCTTTCTGTTAAGAAAATTTTGTTTGCTATCAAATGGCATCAGCTAGAGTGGCAGTGACGATAGGGAGTGAAGGAGAGCAGCCAGAGTCCCCCTTCTGCATGCCTCCATTCCCTAGAGCTGTGACTGTGACAGTGCAGGGTGAGCCAGTAGCAAGACAGTGGCCCTCCCTCCCCAGAACCCAGTGCATTTGGAGAGGATGGGCTGTAGTGGCATGGAGGGAAGCAAACAGGTGGTGCTAAGCAACTCTACCAGAGATGTTGATGGGCACAAGATCAGACTGCGTGGAGCAGGGCTGAAGCCACCGCTTTTCCTCTAGGATGGGCAGAGGGAAGGGGCCATTCCAGGCAGTTGGCTTGTCGGCTGTAGACAGGCTCAGGGAGGCCTCAGGGGCCCTCACACCCTGGGTGGTAGTCTCATCCTCGCTCAGCTGCCGTTTTGTAGGCTGTTGGGAGAGAAGGTGATGGAAAGGGTGTGCTACAGACTGGTGATGAACCAGAGCCCATAGGATGACTGTTTAGGCAGAGTGGTTGGAGACTTCATCTGGGAGGCAGGAAAGCGTGGACAGGTTGCCTGCAGGTTGCCTGCTGTGCAGGGCCCATCCAGTGGGGCCTCATAGAACTCTGCTGGTGAGCAGAGGTGAGCAGTAGCTTCCAGTGGGCAATGTAAGCAGCTGGAGGTCCCCTGTCAGTGGAAGCAGGCTGGCTCTCCCAGGTGGGGTAAGAGGCAACTCACCATCAACACAAATTCCAGACGTTTGGCAGACTGGGGCCTTGAGCTGGGTGTGGGCTCAGGGGCCTCATCAGAAGAGCGGAAGGTCTGCCCCAGAAGTCTGGCCTCTGAGTACTGTTCCTCATATTCTTCTGAAAAATAGCACAGTGGAGACATACTCTAGGGGGCCAAGGCCAAGCACTGGGCTCAGGGAGGACCACAAGCCAGGGCTCCTGCACTAGCTGCCAGGCCTGACTCATGTTCTTTCTTTGGACTATTCCTGGTGTTGGAGCCACTGGATTTGGAAATAGAAAGATGCCTGCTTCCATGAGGGCAGAGGAGAAAAGAAAGTCAATAAATCTGAGCTGTTTCACTTCAGGCACCAGGTCTTCATCTGATGGCCTCTACCTTAAGTTCTCAAATCAGAGTAGTGGCTCAGGATGCAGATACCTTTTGCTACAAGGTCCTTTGTTTGAAGCCCTATAGCTCTTCAGATTTTCCGCAACTCTAGCAAGGAAAGATCTACATGAAGCAAGGAGAGATTTGAACTGGAAAGTCCTGTCTGGAGCTCTTTCCTGGATGACAAGAATTCTTACTTGAGCTTGTATAGATCTGGTTCCACTGTGGGTGGGGTCATGTCTAGGAAGGCTAAGGGGAAGAAGAGGAAAGGAGAAGGTAGCAGCATAGAAGAGGGCCAAGTTCAGGGGCATCCAGGGAATAAGGATGAATGAGATTTGAATGGATTTGACTGAAGAGATGATGCAGATGAATAAATGAAGGAAGAGACAGTAAAAGAACAAACATTCATGGCTCTCTATACTTTGGACAAAGACTTAGAATCATGGAAACTTGGGCTTGCTCTTAGGGTTCTTTAATCCAACACTCAGTTTTGTGCTCAGACTTCCTCCTCAGCAGCCCTTCTATGTGCTCTTTTTTTAAATGGCTTTTTATGGACCTTTATTTTATTCATTTATTTATACGCAATGCTGAGAATTGAACACAGTACCTCATACATGTGAGACAAGCACTTTACCATTGAGTCAGAACCCCAGCCCCGATGTGCTCTTTCAGCATCAGAGCATACACCTGCAGGGAAGGGGAACTCCCTCCCTCCCAAGGGCAGCTCATTCCTTCCATGGACAGTTGGGGCAGTCAAGCATATCAGAAAAGTTCTTCCTTATCTGGAGGTGGAATCTGCTTCCCTCTGAATTTCTAACCACTGGTCCTAATTCTGCCCATGGCAGCAACACAGAGAGCACCGACTCTTTTTTTCTGCATGGCAGCTTCTTGTTATCTGAACACAAGGCTCATGGTGTCCCTCAGCACCTCGCTTCCCTAAGGTCACCACTGCCCTAGTAGGGAAGTGGGGGTTATGGCTACAGTCCAGTTGGGAGGCCCACTGGCTGTTTTTTATTCTTCACTGGCATTAACTGTTGTTGGTATGGATAAACAAGAGCTGACACAAGACCTCTATGCATTTAGCATCCACCAGACATGTCTTGGGGGATCCTGCATCAGGGGCTTCTGGAAACCCATGAGTAGTAAGAGATGTGATTTTTTTTTGAGATGCTGTGAATAGAACCCAGGACCTGGCAAATGCTAGGCAAGCCTTTGCCAATGTGCTACATCCGCAGCCCAGAGATGTGATTCACATGGAGAGGAAACTCAGTCTGGTTAAGAGTACAAAACAGGGGAACTCTGAGTGCTGTATAGTGGGCTAGTGAGGTACTAGTGAGGTAGTTGCTAAGCAGGAGGCATGTGGGCAAAGTTATTGTAAGAGCAGAGTGAGTGAAGCCCAGAATGGGAGACCCCACAGATGCCCCCTTTGTTTCCTGATGCCAGGATTCCAGAGGCATGGGCGATGAGTCAAGAAGATGGTTGGAGGGAATGTGGGCCTGCATTGTGGGAGTCTCCCACCAAGATCTCTTTATGAAGGGTTTGCCCCACTGCTTTGCCTTAGCGTCTGTCCATCCCAGCACCTATGGACTACTGAACTGAAAACCAGAGGAGCAGGAGACAGCCATGGAAATAGAATGTTTAAGAATAATCAGTATGTAAGGTGAAGATAGAGAACATGTGCTTGGTTTTTTGATAGGTTTGAAACTGTTCATTTTTCTCTCGCTGGTCCCTGTCCTTTCTTCTTTTCCTTTCTCCTGCTGCTGCGCAGCTCGCAGCTCGCCTCTGGGCTCCGGCCGCAGCCCCCCTCCCTCTCAGTACCTTGCAACACGCTCTGGAGATTGAGCTGCGCCTCGCGAAGCAGCTCTTCTACACTCGGGGGCCTGCCAGAGGAGAGGAACACGTTCACTGGCTGTCGCCATGACGACCTCGAGTGGGCAGTCGCTGTCGCATTTTCCCGACTCGAGTTAGCTGCAGCTAGGGAAGGAGAGAGTCAGTGAGAGGCGCAGCTGAGGAGGGGGCGGGGAGCGGCGCGCCTCGGCCAGTGGGCGCCCGCGTTTCCTGAAGACCCGCCCCTGCCGGGGGGGGGGAGGGGGTGTGAGGCTGCGCTTAAAAGGCAGGGACTCGCTGTCCGCAATATTTTTCCTCGACAGATCCTGCCGCAGTCTGCTCCCTCCCGCACCACCCTCCTCCGCCCTCCCGGCAGTCGCCGCCGCCGCCGCCGCCGCGTCTCCCGTGTCCTCTGCCTGTGTTTCCTGGTCCTGCGCCGCCGCTCCCGCTTGTTCTCTTCGACCCCGGCCTTGAGGTAACGCGTCCAGGGCCAAGCCGCTGGGCCCTCCGCCCCGAGCGCCTTCCCTCAGTGCTCGCCCCGGTGGGTGTGGCCCGGCCTGCCCTGTGCCCTACTACTGCACTTCGGTTTCTTCTCGCTCGCCTCCGCTACATTTCGGCCTCCTCCCCTGGCCCCTAGCTCCCCGCCCCCACCGCCGGAGACCGAGCCCCTGAGCTAGTCAAGATGTCCGAGGCGGCAGGAAATCTCAATAGCCTCCGCATGGCGAATGTGGCCCTGCGAGAAGAATTAAATGCCCTTCGCGGGGAGAATGCCAATTTGGGCCTTCAACTGGGAAGAGCCCTGGCCGAGGTTAATTCCTTGCGGGGCAATGTCTCCAGCTACGTCCGCTGGCCAGTGCCCATAGTACCCCTTATTGCGGAGGAGAACTTTGACTTCCCGCTCAATGAGATCGACGCCGTTCCCGAGGGAGAGGTGCCCTTCTTGTGTTGGCCTCCCCCACGCACAGATCCCGAGTATGTCTCGGATGATCTTTTGATTAACGTGATCCAGGACTACAGCAACCCCGACGGGGTCAGTGATCCTCCTCTGCCGCCCAGCCCACCCCCGCCAGAGCAGCCCTCACCCCCAGCGTCAAAGGAGCCGCCCCCGCAGCCGCAGCCGCAGCCGCAGCCGCAGCCGCAGCCCCAGCCCCAGCCGCAGCCCCAGCCCCTTCTGCCACCATTGGAGAGGCCTAACATACGGCTCTTTTCTGGCGATCCAGTCTACCTGGCTGAATTCCTGATGCAGCTAGAGACCTTCATAGCTGACCATGAGGATCATTTCCCTGGGGGTGCTGAGCGGGTGGCCTTTCTGATCTCCTTTTTCACTGGTGAAGCGAGGGACTGGGCCATCTCTGTCACCCAGGAAGGAAGCTCCCTGCATGCCAACTTCCCGCGCTTCCTGGATGAAATCCGTAAGGAATTCCGTGGCCCCATACCCCCACGAGTGGCTAGAAAGGCCATACGCAAGCTCAAGCAGGGAGACTGTACCCTGGGCAGCTATGCAGATGCTTTTCAGTTCCTGGCCCAATTCTTGTCTTGGGATGACTGCCGCCTCCAAAATCAGTTCCTCAAAGGCCTGTCGGAATATTTCCGAAAGGAGCTCTTATGGTCAACTGAAATGGCCGACCTGGATGAGCTGATTCTTGAGTGTGTGGAGATAGAAAGAAAAGTGCGTATCCCCAAGCCAATCAAGCTCCCTGGGGTGCGCAATGTCGTCCCTCCTTTTGCTCCCACCCCTGATGAGGAAGATATTATTGATGAACAGCGCTACCATGAGGATGATGAAGATGGGATATGCAGGCACAGCTCTTCCCTGAAGGACCAGGACATAAGGGCTTTCGGGCAAGAGGTGATAGAGGAGGAGGAGGAGGAGGAGAAGATGAGGGAGGAGGAAAAGATGAGGGAAGAGGAGAAGATGAGGGAGGAGGAGAAGATGAGGGAGGAGGAGAAGATGAGGAAGGAAGAGGAAGAAATGAAAAAGGAGAAAGAGAATGAGGAAGAGGAAGAGGAGGACGACGATGATGATGATGATGAAGATGATGAGGAGGATGAGGAGGATGAGGATGAAAATGAGGAGGGTGAGGAAGAGGAGGATGAGAAGGAAGAGGAGGAGGAAGAGGAGATGAAACAGAAAGAGGAGGAGGAGATGAAGAAGAATGAGGATGACAATGAGAATAAGGATGAGGAAGAAGATGAAATTGAGGTGGGGAGCCAGGAACCAGAGCAGGAGCCAGAACAGGAGCAAGAGAGGGTGCCATTGTTTGAGGAGATGTTTGGTGAGATGGGCCATGAGCACCACCATCACCACCACATTCACCACCACCATAATGGGATCCATGTGATAGAAGAACTGATGGAGATGGAGGAGCCTGTTCTTGTTGACACTTCAACCCAGACGATTAGCACAACCATTGGCTACCATGCTGAGAATTTCCTGGGTACATCACCTCCCATAATACAGCCCAGCAGACGGAGGAACCAGAATCGAGTCCCACTTCTGGAGGGCCTTCCAGGTACCAATTCACCATTCTACAGCTCTCCACCACTGATTCGCCGTGCCGGTCGCTTGGGGCAACGCCAAATTCGAAGACGTCCCCCGGTGCTATTCCGCCTTACTCCAAGACAGGGGGGCCACCGAGCTGCTCGTGGCCGAATTCGCGTGTGAGTGATGGGGCAAACTGGCCACCTGGAACACACCCTTCTACTGCGTCCCCTGCCCCTGCTATTGCTGCCACACTTGCCCCATGTACTGACCAGTCGTTAAGGGAGTTCCAGACCTGCCCAACCTGAAGAAGACCTGCAGAGTTCTAGACTGTCTTGCAACCATGATCAGAGAGTGACATGTGCTCAGCCAAGGCCACCTGGGAAAGGATAGGATAGCAAAAGCTGTCCTCTTGGCATATACTCTGCTCAGTCCTGCCACAAGCTAGAGAGCAGGTTTCTGGGCCTGTTCTCGTGAATGAACTGGTCACCCTTTTGTATTCCCCTCTAGTTGTGCCCAGCCTCTCCTGCGTTTATTCACCCTGTGTTCTACAGTTTTATCCTCCAACTGGCTCACCAGAACTTCACCCAATGCCTCACTGATCTGCCCCAATGATTGAAAGGACAAGCTACATTGAACTCCTAAAGCCACTGAGGCCACTTACTAAATATAATGGACAGTGAGCAGGACGACACCGGGAAATGTGCCTAGAAGGCTATGCTTGTTTTGTGCTACACCTCCAGCAGAAGGGCCTGGAAGAGGACCTACATGTAGCCCAGTGAGAGTGTGCAAAGCCACATGTAAAATTGACAATTTGAGATTTGTTTGTCCTTAACTGACTGTGGCAAGCTGCCTCCACTTCCAGCACTTGAGTTCATCTTTCTTCAGACTCCTATATTAGGGCCCTTGGAACGGCTTGGCCAAATCTGGGGCCTTCTCCTCTTACTACACTGTCCTCCTGGACATCCCCAGAATACAGCTTGACATGGCAGGCCCCACCCCTTTCCTTGATGGTGCCTAAAGGGGCATTTGGGGTGGTGGAATAGGAGGAGGAAGAGGGAGAAACCACATGACTGCTTCAAATCCTACAGAGTAAATTTCCTTAGGGAAGAGGGTCTCCTTCCCCAGCCAAAGGTCTCTGCCAGCAACATTCTGTCCTAGAGGCACCCCACTAACCTTCCCTTCCAAGATAAACGGCCTGCTCCTTAACTCCCTCCAACTCTTAAGGAGGAGAGTTGGAAGGTTGCCTCTACAGAGATTGTACCCACTGCAGCCTTGCATCTTGGACACCTGCTTGGCTCTCACATGGGGGTGAGTCTCTGGGCTGTTGCTGTACTTTGACTGGACAGTAAGGCTGATGGTGGTGCTGCCTCTTAGGCATTCCTGGGACTCCTCAGTACAAATCCAGACAGGTGCCCTTATAGAGAGACCTGCTGTTTGCCTTGGGTCCAGAAAACACTGCTTCTGCAGTGAAAAATACACATTTACTATGTCAGCTCTGGCCATGAAATGCCAGCCAAATCCACTCCTTGCCTGAACTGCCCCTGGACACTGAACTCTCTGCACAGTGCCTGGCAGCTGGGCAAGTGCAGCCAAAGTGTCTGTGGCCAGAGGGAAGAAAACAGTGAATGAAGTGTCTGTTCCACACCGGAGTCTGAAGATAACCTCAGCCCAGCCTTGGGATTTGGGGCCTAGAGGCCAGAGGAAGGAGCTGGAGGAAGAGGAGTCACAGAGATCCAGTCCTCAGACTGGTTTCGGGTGAGATCTCTATTCATCAGTGGGAGGTAAGATGCCCTTTTGTTTATCACTTTTGTTTCTCAGCTTGGGAATCAGTGGGGTCAGGTTCCTATAACCTGTTGCTACCTTTAAAAAAGGTTCCCCAAAGAAAAGAATAATACATAGTCATTATAGGAAAATTGGAAAATGGAGAAAACCCTAAGGGAAAAATATCCCAAACATGCAGGATGCAAGTACTGTAAACAGTTTGCTGCCTTTCATTCTAGTGTGTGCTCCCTGTGTCTTCAAAGCTGAGATCATCCTGCTAGCTCTCCATCAGCAGGATTTAAAATGGCTGCCACCTCTGCCATCATGGATACTGAATAATTTATTTAAGAATCCTCCTAATTTGTTAGACATGTCAGTTGTCTGGTTTTCCCCATTCCCACCAGGGGAGAAGTAAACAACCTTGTAAAGATAGTTTTATCTGTTTTTCAGCTTATTTCCTCGGGAGAGAGTTCCAGAAGGGGAACAGCTATTCATCGAGGCTGTGGATCCTGTTTGCTGATGTCAACATGCTGGCCCTGCTGTCTATGAACTTGTGGAGAAGTGCAAAGGACAGGTGCCTTGCACCCCCACTTCCAGGGACCCCTCAGCACAGGCCCTGCCTGTTCCCATGGTGCTCACCCTGAACCCTTGCAGCCTCAGCCAGGGAGAGAGTGGATGAGCAGTGAGCTGGTTTCCGGGCCTCTAGGGGCAGAGGGGGCTTGGGCTTCCCTTTGACCCTCTCCCCGCTTTCCCAGATCTTCAATATTTGTTGTGATGTGACAGCCACAAGAGCTGTAAGAGGAACTATGAGCTTTGGGTGTTTCCTTGGGTTGAAAGAGGGGTGGGGGGTGGGTGGGAAATGCATGCAGGGGTATGAAGGCAGCCCAAGGATTCCCAGAGGCTCGGGAGGAAACCCCCTTGAAATAAATGTGTTATTGTTATTATTGTGTTATTGTTGCACTACTGTGTTGTGAAGATAAGAAATTGCTCTGTACGCTAAAGCTTCTCTCCTCAATAAAAATATAAAGGGTGTGTAAAGATCGTGTCTCTCTGTGTTATTGAGCAAGCAGAGATGGGTACCTAGTAGGCATCAGGTACTTTCTAGGCACCCTGGAACCCCTGCCTGAAGCCTTGAAATTCTTAGATGAGCAAACTTTTTTGGATGGCAGAAATTGTTGGGAGGGAAGTAGAAACATGGGGCATCTTGAAAAATTGCATTAGTTCTACACATGCACACACAACGCCACTTTGAGTGAAAGAAGGGAGGGAAGCCAGGCTAAGTGAGTAGGGAAGAGTGCCCTTCCACTTTGTGGCACTAGGTGGTGCTATGAGACGCCAGTGAGCTAGCTGGTGAAGCTTTAGAAACACACAACCCCAGAGCAATTCATGCAGTGGCTTTCCAGCAAGATCTCCAGGCTCCTTGCAGACTGTGGGGTCAGAAGAAACTCAAGCCCATTCTTGGATTTGTCCAAGTTTCCCAGATATTTTTTCCCCTGGGGAAGTGGGTAGGGAATGCTCATTAGGCCCCTGTTAGTTCTGTGCCAGGTGCTTCACATCTATCATCTTACTTCATCCTGAGGGGCAGGCACTATTCTCACCTTCATCCTGGACATGAGGACACAGGCATAGGGAGAGAAGTCACTGCCTCATTGGTACCTACTGAATGGCTCCTTCACAGCCCCACAGTTGCTAATTAGCTCCTGAGACACTTAGCCCCACCTCAGCCCCTACTTCACTGGTCCTTCTGTCTAATAGGCCAGGCTGGTCTGGTTCTGCCCTGCCCTGCCTCTTTCTCCAGCTTGAAGAATTCCAGTGGAGATACAGCTCTCATTTCTGAGGCACATTTGCCTTGCATCCTTAGAGTAAGGAAGGAGGAAAGGAGGGAGGAAACCAGCATGTTTCTGATCGTGTTGGGCCCTTTCACCTCATTTCATTGCCAAAATATTTCAGTGAGACAGATAATGTCTCCCTTTAGAGCTGAGGGATCTGAATCTCTGAGATTTTAGGTTCCATGGGGGACTCCAGGTCTTTGTGACTCACAAATCCATGCTTTCAACTCTAGTGCACCATGCTGTCTCCCAGGAAAGCCTCTTGACAAGCGCAATCGCAGGCCAACTGCATTCTGAATCTTGCCAAAGAAACCAAGTATGTGTCAATTGCACTAGCTCTTGAGCCTCTAGGAAAACCAGCAAGGTGGTCATTTGTCCTGCAGGGAAGGGCCTGCCTAGGAAGGCAGGCTAGTGGCAGTGCTAAACATGTGGCTGTCTACACTTTTGGAAGAGGGATGGGGCTATGGAGCTGTGAGCTGCCTCAGTGAGCACTGGGGCTCCCACTAAGGCTTCAGGGGGTCAGAAAAGGTCTCCAGCAATCACTGCTGGGATTCCTCATGATGCCACAGGTAGGAATAAATGAGTCCAGGTGGTATAAGGACCAATCAGGGCAGGTAAGAAAAATAGAAATCCTTATCTCAATCCTTCAGTTGGAAGTCCTGTGAAGCTAGGGAAGAGAGCCTGAGATTTTAGTCCATCCCTGCCATTGATTCCATTTGGGATCGTGGAACAGTCCGATCCGCTCTCTGGTTTCGTCTGTTTTGTCACTGTTGAGACCCTGGAACCCAGCACATGGCTTGGTACACAGTAGGATCTCAACACTAGTCTGGCACATAAATGAAAATGTGAGTAAACAGGCTGCTGGATGGAGACCTAGAGGAAGCCTGCTAAGGGCATCTGCAGGGAGTACTAGAGGATTCCCTCCAAAATGGAAACAGGAGCTAAAAAGTATCTCCCTCACCTGGAGGGATATATTGACATGAACTTACATTCAGGTTCAAAATCCAACTGCAGGAGCCGGGGTTGGGGAGACATGGCTTAGAAGCATGTGAAAAAGAATGCGAGTGTATGTGGGCTGAGAATGAACTGGCAGATTAGAGATGCTAATGCCTTCCTGGGCTGCTGCAAGCACCTAGAGGTGAACAGGCCCCACCTGGGGTCCTGCCTTCCTAGCAGGAACCTTTTTGCATTGAGGAGCAAGGAAATACCAGAATCAAAGAAAAGAATGAGAGAAAGGGGGAGGCAGTGGAAGGGTGATCAGAAGGGTGAGGGGTCCCCAAGTCTACTCCCACGGGCTGGGGGAAGGCAGAGAATATCTTGCAACATGTGAAGCAGGCTAGTTTGCTGTAATCACCCTTGTTATAAGTGAGGAAATGGGCAGCCAAAAGGCCAAGCAACTGGCTGAAAGTCACTGGCCTCATGTCTGGAGTTTGACCTTGAACCCCAGCAGTCTGACATCCAGAACTGGTGCTCTTAAACTCTACCCTCTACCCCCACTGAGGCTGAAAGAATCAGAATCTCCAGGAATTTCTATTTCTATAAAGCTCTCTAGACAATTCTAATGCCCAGCCCAGCCCAAGGCAGAACAAAGACTTGGGGGACTAACTAGCCCAGGTGACATTCAATGGTTCTAAGCCTTCCCATACAGTTCCCAGAGCAGGAACCAGCCCAGAGACCCAGTCCCATCAACCTAGGAAGTGATTGAGAAATAAATGTGCTAAGATTCCCCAGCATGTACCATGGTCTGATGTAAGCTCACCTATCCTGGACACATCCCTCAGATAGCTGCTAATACCCTCCTGAGAGAAACTGTGACAAAGGGTGGGTGCTAAAGTCTGGTTTTGGGAAACTAGGTCCATTGGAGCCAAAGCTTGTGCCCTTGACCTCCAGAACTGGCTCATGAGGCTGTGGGAGGGGCTGTGTGGGTTCCTCTGGGGGATAAGCACAGGCATTAACAAGCCCAGAAACTACCCTCAAATGGGGGGGGTCCACCTCGGGCTAGCACTTCCTGCATCCTGCCCAGACTAGGGAAAGCTCAGCAGGCCACCTCTCCCTGGGGACTCCATGCAGAAACACAAAGCCCAGAGTTCTTGGTTGCCCTGGTAACAGCAGGACCTACTTGGAAGAAAACAGTCTTTTAAAGGCTTAAAAGGGTGGATATTTCCTTTGACAGAGAGCAGGCCCTGACCTGCTCCCTGCATCCTCCTCCCCTTCCTGTCAGCCCCACACATATGGGTAGAGCTGGGGCCCCTCATCTCAGCAACTCTTCTAATGGGGATGGGGGTGGGGTGTGTATTTTCTGGAAAGCAGGGCCCTGGCTTTTTATTCTGCTCTCACTGTGGGCTGTTAATGTGAGAAAGAGGCTGAAATGGAAGGTGTGAATTCCTGGCAATGGCCTTGTGGCCCAAGGAAGCCTCATCTTGTAGAACCCACACAACAGAACATGAGGAAGGCAAGTGTTCTCAGCAAGTCTAGTCTTCCTACCCATTTACTGCACAGAGATGAGACCTGTCTGGGCATGGGACACTGTGGAGGTGGCCAGAAGTTCCAGACTTCTTCCTATTTCAGCATCTCTTCCTCTCCCTCCTGGACTATTAAAGTAGCTCCCTGCTAGTCTACCTGGCCCCTAATCTCTACTTCTAATCAATGTATCTTCTATATGCCTGTGTGGTGGTGTTGGGGGCATGCTATGGTGGTCCTTTGAATTCACAGATTTGGGCTTGTTGCTCCTATACAAAACCCTCAATGGCTCCCCTTCCTCAGAGGAAGACTTGTGGACCAGACTCTGGCATTCTTCACTATCTGGTCATAAACCACCCATGCTGTCTCATCTGCCCATGCTATCCTCCTTTCTCTTTAGTCCAAACTTCAGACACCATGAATGAGTTCCTTCTTTAATTCATATATCAGGCCCTCTGGCTTCTCTTTTTGCACATTCCATTCCCTTTGCCTTAAAAATTCACAAATATTCTGGGCAAAACCATAGTCCCAGTTACTCGGGAGGCTGAGGTAGGAGAATCACCTGAGCCCAGGAGTTCAAAACCAGCCTTGGCAATATAGTGAGAACTGGTGAGAGAGAGAGAGAGAGAGAGAGAGAGAGAGAGAGAGAGAGAGAGAGATAGATTGAGATTCCAAACACAGGTCCCATTCTGAAGTAGAATAAATAAGAAATAGGTAGAAAAGGGATGGGGATGTGGCTCAGTGGTAGGGTACTTGCTTCTCATGCATGAAGCCCTAGGTTTAATCTCCAGCACCACAAAAAAAGGAAAAAATAAATAAAAGGTAGAAAGGTTACACAAAGGAAGGACAAGAAAATAGTATTTTTTTTTTTGCAGTGCCTGGAATTGAACCGATGGGAGCTCTATCATTGAATATAGCAACATCCCTAGCCCTTTTTATTTTTAATTTTTAGTTGTGACTGGGTCTCACTAACTTGCCAAGGCTGGCTTCCAACTTGAAGTCCTCCTAAATAGGTGGGATTACAGGTATGCACCACCACTTCTGGCAATAAAATAGAATTTTAATTCAGAAGTTCAGCATACTTTTCCAGACCTGTCACTCCTGGAGCCTATCTCCCTTCCAAGCCCGTTATTCCTAAATTTTTAGGAAGTCTGTAAATTTATCTGTGCACTGTTAATTACCTCCCCACCTAAATAGAATAAGCAAAAAAAGACATTTTGAAAAACCTATAATTTAGGGGACTTTCCAATGCTATCTATTGGTCAGATAATGAAGACCACCTCAGCCTAAGGATCCTAGATTCACTAGACCGCCAGAAGCTGTCTTGAGATCACTGGACTCAGATCATTCCTGCCTATCTTTCCATACCCACCCCTCATCAGTTTCCTTTAAAAGAAGAGTTATGAATTCCAAAAATGCATCTCTCACTCTTGAGATGGGCCTCGTTGCATTCTCCCTTGAATGTGTATTCCTTGCCTTACCCCCAAAGGCATCTCCCTTGAGATCACTCCAATTCTCCCTTGAATACATTCTACTTTACTAAAAGAACCTCTCTCTATGCCTGTGAATGGCTTGTGCTGAAATTCTTTTTTGTCACATATGTCAAGAACACCACTGGTCCTGAGTCAAGTCTCTTAGGGAATTCCTTGGATCTTCTTCAGAGAAACCTCTCCTCCTGTGACAACTCTACCTGGCAATCTTCTCAGCTTCTTCCATGAAGCTGCTTCTACTCTGCAGAAAAGCCCCATC